TTACTTCTAGTAACAAGAAGCTACTAGTAGCAAGGTGAATCGCTACTTGGAGCAAGAAGCTACTAGTAGCAAGGGAACAGGTGGATTCAGACCAGGAAAAGGACAGCACTAGCGGACCCACACAGCCCCACCGACAGCCTACTGCAATGCCAAAACCCCAACGCCTAAGATTTGATGCCTGCAGGCTCCAGCTCCAGCGTCACCCTTCTGAGCCGAAGTGACCGCTGGTATTTGGCCCGGTCAGAGTCCGGCACGGAAAAAGAGAGCAAGAGGGGTTTCTGAATGTTGCTGAACATGTTTCTGACGTCACTCAATTTTCTGTTTTGTCACACGATTCTTTCCGCTGATGGTCATTCCTGATTCCTAGTCAGCAAGTAGCCAAAGTAGCCACACCTTGGGATTACCCCGGCAGCCTGGCGATCTTTCGATACCTAACAAGATCAGAAAGTGTCACGTTTTCGCAAGCGTTCCAATATGCTTTGCAATGGGTACTTCCTCTTCATGTGCCGTACAGGGCATAGACGTTTCAGTCGGAACGACAGGTGGAAAAAGATGGTGGGCTGGCATTGCCCTCAACGGAAAGCTGTACGGACTTCCATGTAATGCAGAGCACCTGCTGGTGTTGGACCCATCTTGTGACGAGCCTGTGCAATTGATCGACACCAAGCGAATTGCCACAGGTGAGGGGAAGTGGCGTTCCACGGTGGCAGTGGGTGGCAAACTCTATGGCATTCCAGACAGAGCAGAAGCAATGCTTGTCTATGACTTTGTGTCAAGACAGGTTTCTGGCATTGACACACGAAAGCTGTCAAGGGGGCCTTTCAAGTGGCAATCTGCTGTGGTTTTAGCAGGGAAGATCTATGGGATTCCACACCATGCAGACAAGCTTTTGGTTTTTGATCCCAAAAGCAGCAAAGATTCCAAGACTCGAGGCTATCCCAGTAGCAAAGTCGAGTCTGTGACCGGCGTTGATACCACTCACGTAGCAGTAGGAAAATCAAAGTGGCTTGCAGGTGTAAGCCTTGGCGGCAAAGTGATTGGAATTCCATGCAATGCCGATGCTTTGTTGGTCTACGACCCCTTGAACAATGCCTGCAGCGGCGTGCCTATAAGCTATCATGCAACAGGTCCTTTCAAGTGGCTTTGTGCGGTGGCTTTGCAGGGGATCTTGTATGCTTTACCCTGCCATGCCGATTGTGTTTTGGTCTTTGACCCTTCCAACAATCGCGTGTCTCATGTCGACACATCTTCGATTTCTGTTGGACCTGGAAAATGGGTCTCTGCTGTGGCTTGCCATGGGAAGATCTATGGCATTCCAGATCATGCCAAGGCTGTCTTGGTCTTTGATCCAAAGTCTCAGGCAAGGCTTTTGATGGGTTGGCAGACCTCTCTGTGCTCACATGTTTTCTCAATGTTTTCACTTGTGTTCAAAACATGTTTTTTACGCCACAAGAGCCAACATGAGCCAACTTCTGTGCTTTGTTTGGGCGAAACGCAGGAGGTCTCAGGCATTGACATCAGTCATTTGTCGGATGCCACGAGCAAATGGCAGTCTGTGGCAGTGCTGGGCAGCAAGATCTATGCAGTCCCGTACAATGCGCACCTTGATTTGGAACAAGGAGAAGGGATCATTATGGAGATCTGCATGCAAGAAGCATAGGAATATCCTGCATATAGCCTATAGATCTTAAGGCTTTCCAATGAAGCAAGATGCCTGTAAATTTGCCAGCTGCGCCAGCTGGCCTCAGGCACGATATTCTGGTGATTGATACGTCAGCATGCATGGCCTCCAGTGTCGATGTGCGCAGTCTTGGAAGTGGTCCTGGTAAATGGGGCTTTGCAGCAGTCGTAGGTGGCAGAGCTTCAACCATGCATTTAGAACCAAATTTAATGTGATACACATTTTTGTGCCTGACTCATAGAAGTCGCTGCGGTCCAAAGTCTGAGATGGACAGATAAGAGCTCCAAAACCTGGGCATGAACTCTCGTCCTCACAAGTAGAAAAGAGCACCAGCAAGCAGCGCAAGCAGCGCATCATAGGGAATCATTCTACAGCCTTGTCAGGTGGATGCTTATGCGGCCTCCCTTGGGATGCGGCGAATGTCCTGATTTATCGCCCAGAAGTGGTCGAGGACGGAGCGAAGATTAAAGCGATATTTCCGCTGACTCTCTCGCTTTTTACTGGGAAACCCACATTTGGAGAGAGAAACGTATCACATGGATTCACATGGATCATGATGGATCATCTACAGATTCCTGTAGTCATCTCGTTTCAAGTGTCCAAAAGCTTCACGTGTGCATGCTGCATATGTGTGACGTTGCTAGAAGTTGTTAAGACTGCTTTTGGAACTGGCAAGCTTTAAGCAGGTCAGGGCTTCCGCATTCATGCAGCTGTCTCTATTCCTTTTTTCGAGGATACTCCAACCAACCAGGAAGAGACCGATGTTTCCAAGGGCGATCTTGAAGAGGCCGAGAATCGGTTCCCCTTTGCAAGGGGGACGGCCCCGTTTGAGTGTCTCGAAACTTATGAAACATCGATCTTATGCTGCTTGGTTTTCAATGATTTGCAGGCCTCTGACCCAAATGAACGTGGTTTTAGCGGAGTACCAGACATCTCTCCAGACCTTGGGGAGTCCCTCATTCAGGAGCGGAGGTAAACCAATTCACGGATGAATCACATTGAATCGCGCATATATGATATGATGATACCATGGGGTTGCCCCCAAAGATATAGGCCAACACAGGACCACAGGGGTATGAAGCTTAAGCTACCAGTGTAGAAGTATGTATAGAAGTTTTATGATTCATCCCTGAGCTTTTTTACATGCATTTCGAAAGGAGTGCTGTGTGGTGCAGCCTAAAGCATCAACACCTCGGCAAGCAACACACAATAGCAATGCAGTCCACCTGTACAGGTCAACAAACTGGAGACCACAGTCTTTCGTTGACGAGAGCAGAGAACACTTTGAGTGCCAGGAATCCGTGGTCTCAAAAGGGGATGCTTTGACAAAATTCATTCAAAGCTAGATGGCCTAAATTAGAAGACGGACCTGCAAAGTTTGCTGGGGGTGCAGGCTACTGCGGGTGCAGGTTTGACTTGTCAGCTCGTGCTGTGCTTGTGCTTAAAGCCTCTGATTTTGCACCACAGCACTGGTGTGGCACACCATGTGAGTGAATTCCCAGGTAGCGCCGAAGGCTGCAGATACTCCGAGAAAGCCTCGTATCGCAGAGGTTGATATCGTGGTGGCAACTGCGGAAAAGGCTCCCGTCTCTTCAAATGCTTTGGTTCCTTGCTGCTGCGATTTCTGGGCGCTGTACCCAAGACTTGCGACCTCCCTTCCGCTAATAAACCTGCAGGTGCTCGGACCACGGAACTTGCCAAGAACTTGAGAACATTGCCGAAAGAAGAACCCATGGTCAGATGCAAGCCTGCTCAAAGATCTCAAAGGGGGGTGGTGTTCGCGGGCCAAATTACTACACAAAAGACTCCTCGGCGGCAGCCGCGTGTCTGCTGCTGCTGCTGTTGCTGCTGGGGACGTTCGTGTTCACGTCGATGCATCTGCAATTTGCATGGGCCCTCGGCCGGATGTTTGTTTTTTCATCTCGGCGGTCTTCGAATCCAAGCGTTTTCCGTTGTCCATCTCGATCATTTTGCACCTTCTTGCACATGTGGCAGCATGGGGATGGCAATCGCCACGATATTCTTCCGAGCGCGTTCAAGGCCGTAGAGACGCGGGGCAAGACAATTGCTGAGGAGGACGGCCAAAACAGCGAGACTCAACCTGGGCAAGGTTGAGACGACTGCTGCGCGGGATGCCCGATAAAGATCGAACAAAGCGTCGCTTTTGCGAACACAAAGCAAGCGCGCACTGAAGAGACACATGAGGAAACCAAGACCTTGCTGGAATTCTTGCAGGGTCTGAAGCACGACAATGCCGATGTGGGCAGCACGGGATTGGCGTGGCATGGTAGCAATGTGCACCAAACTAGCCAAAGGAGAGGAAACTTCCAAGCCGGTCGATCGCCAAGTGCATTTTGGCTACATAAATATCAATTATTGGTTTGCGCCGTCTACATGCGTTTGATTTGTTTGCCTGTTTGGGCTGTGGTCTCGGGACCTGCCGTGTCAGATTGGCTTTTCATGGCTTTTGCAGGTGCAGGCGCATGGAAAATTGCAACATGCGTCACGCACTTTTGTTCAACACCTTCATTCCTACAGTGGTGGGTGTGTTTTTGCACCACCCCCCCAGAAGCCAGGACTTTGTCGGTGCATGGCTGAGTGAGTGGATATACTTCGCAGATCCGGGGAAGCCCTTTGCAGTGCCGATGATGAAGTTCCCGGAATGCAAAATTGTAAAGCCCAGCTTAATTGAACGGTGAGGCCACGGTTGCATTTTGTGAGCCGTGGAGTGAACATGGTTGAAAAGTAGACCAGCTGAGGGTCAATGGAACAGCTGTGAAGTTCCAGGCGGGCCACTAGACAGGCAAATAAAATTTGTCCAAAACGACACTTGTCATGGATGATTTGATCATTCAGGTTCACAGCGTCATGGATGACCCTTTGCAGGGGAGTCCTGCTCGTTCAGCAGTGGTCACCGCTTCGATACCGGGGTCATCAGCTGCCTGACAGAAGAGCCGAACACCTTCACCGGGCTCAAAACGCAAGAGTCGCTTGAGTTGGCGGAACAGACCACCAATCTTTGACAACTTTTCATACTGCGTTCTTGTTGCCCAGGTAGTATATCTCGTCTTCAAAGGTTCTTCCTTCATGAAACTCAATTGCACACTGTTGAATATGAGCATATCTCTTGATCTGATCCATTTCTTGCCTCTAATGCGATAATAGTACTGCGTAGAATCCATTTTTGCTGTGGGTTTGCCAGGAATGACTTTGTGGCCAATGCTTCGGTAAGTCCTGATTATACACCCTTCGATGCCACCTTCAATGACCGAACCACTTTCATCCACCATGGAGCTTATCATGCAACTCGGTACTTGCGGCAGCGTCCTTTGCGCTGTGTCCCTGACATTACGCCGGTGTGGGGAAGAGTTTGCTGAAGTGGATGCTGACCCAGGCGACAGCTCAATTGCGGGTACAGCAGTGGCCAGCTTTGCAGGAGTCCATGTCTCGTTGAACCAAAACAATAGAAAGATAAAAAGGTATCACCGGAAATACCTGAGTGATCTTCAATGATAGGAGCAAGGACGCTA